TGTTCTGTTTCGATTTCGAGCCCCTCGGCAGCCATCGGATTTTGAGCACTCGGAAATGGTGCTATCGAAGGCCCATCTTCGACTGTTCGAGGAGTTTTTGAACCATCGATACCTATCGAAGCTTCGAGTACTCGAACATTACAAAGATATCGGAAGAGCCTTATGAGCCCTCCAATAGAAACAAGTCCAGCATAAAAGCAGTTTGAAGTGATTAAATTAATTGTCAGTTCGTGAAATTTCTTTAAAAAAAGATTTACAAATGTCTCCTGCATTAGGTGACCTCAGAAGAATGATCTATATTGTACGCATTTTTTAAAAAGTTTCATAACTTTTTAAAAATTTATTAACATAAAATCAAGGAAAACTACAAGTAGAAATAAAATCTTAATGAATATTGTCATGAGTCTTTGAAAAATTAATTCAATTAATTTTAGATCCTGCACGAGACTCAATCATTTATCAAATGCCATTTCCATCAATCCAATTTCTTACATATTATCCGAGCTAGCGAAGAAGGTGGTTTATTAGTTAAGGAGATGAGCAATGTGTTTTTTCGATTACGGTTTTCGTAAATTAATTTTTGAAAACTGTTAAAATATTAAAATTCAAAGCACTAAGGAAATGATATATGTATATTGAAGAAAATGTATCAAATCTCAAAAAGAAATTTAAAAAAATAATCTGACAAATTTAAATCCAACTTATATTCGTTAGGACTGGGTATTTGAATTTAAAAAGAAAATAAATTTTCCGAATAGAAGTGATTTTAAGTTTAAAATAACTTTAGAGGAAAATTAGGTTCGAAAGTAGTATCCATCTAAGAAATGAAAGGGCAATTTTCATAGAAGAAAAATAATTCATATTTAGTTTAGATGTTCGACGACTGTTTATGGTAAGCATCCATGTTCTAATCTCCTCCTTCGTTTTTATTCGACGGTTTTTGGCAGCTCTGAACTGAGACATCTATAAAAAAAAAAACTCTTTTTACTTTGATGCCCTCGACACCCTCAAATCGACGGGTCGAAATTATCCTATCCGATGCCCAGTTGAGGATGAAACGAAAAGAAAGAAACAGAAAGACGTACGCACATATTATTCTCCAATCAATTAAAAATTCGAGCTAAAATTTGATTTTTTTTCATATTAATTTTTATCTCATAATGATGTGTTCTCTTGCTTTTTCTATACTATAGACTGACATCGACTAGTAATCCATTTACCACTATAATTCTCCACTAGTTCTCTATTTATAGTGTCTATCTAGGGTATGTATCTCTTTGTATGCATGCATAACCACTCTATAATTTAAAGTATAGTTATGTTCATATACTATTACAAATCTGATTTTCATTGGTAGATCAAAGTTTGTTGAACATATTTATCATATGGTACGTATACACGAAACTATATACTAAGTCTTAGTCTTATTTCAGGTATACTTTTTCGTATATATCATATACAACTAATAAACAAGTAATTGTCAACATTTTTAATATTTGAAATGGTTTTTATGAAAGAGAAATCGTTTTTAAGTATATGGTTATTTTACTATTAGATTCATGAGCAGAAAAGAGCATCTATAAAAATACAAGTAAGATTTGATTTTTTTTCTATCTCTAAAGCTCATTTCTCTGTTCTAAAGTTAGGATAGTCAAGTAAAAAAGTATTTCAACCTTAGTTATGATCTTGTGCTCAAAATGAAGATCGTAGCTCTAAAGTTGATTTTTCATATCGAATGAGGCTTACCAACATACTCTGGGATAACTTTTTATATTATGCTTTCTTACTTGTATCATGACATATAGAAGTCACCTGTTGATAGTAGTCATAGTCTCTATATCATTAAAACGTTTATATGGCCATAGGGATTAATATGTTGGGATGTAGCTGGGCATCAGCATGAAAGCTACTAAACAGGTGCATTGTATTTTTAACCGATATAGTAAAGAAGATGTCCGGCTTCATGGTACAATAGATGAATGAATAGTCAAATCTTCTACTGTAATAGTAGATGATTCTAACTTTATGAAAGATCAGGTGAACGAACCTAATGTTTTTATGGGGGAAATGAAGAATGAATATTCAGAATAAGAGAAAATAGAAAATGAGCATAGATCGTAACACAACAAGATCTACTGTACTCTATGATCATATTATCATTTTTCATCCATTACTTTTATGTCTATTGAGTTATCTGTTTTTAGGCAGTATAAGTTTCACTCTAGCAGTGTATATACTACTTTTATTTTTATCTGCTTCGTTCTTTAAATGCATTTCTTGTATGCTGTATTGGCACATGTTACTAGATATCCAAATTCATGTTGTGTGTTCGTATGTAATAGAAGGTTGTAACTTCTTCTCATAATAGCTGTAATAAAACGTGGTGTGAACGTTTACGCAATTCGAACTTTTAATTGATTGAATAACAGTAGTTGTCCAAACAAGACGATTAGACGAAAAAGAGAAAGAATATAAGAAACATAAGTTTGTGCATTCATCGAAAGGTAAAACACTGAACTAAAGATATCTATTAATGAGCTTTCTAGCACAAATTTAAGTTCTTTTGTTGCTTTGAATATATCTACAAGGAGACATTGCTCAAATGACATTAAATTTCGATTTTCAATGCTATTTTTTCCCTTTTTTAGCGTAAATCGGGAATCAACCGAAATAAAGTTTATGTTTTATGTCTATTTATTGGTCTTATTTGTTTAGTGTCACTATTTATTTATTTTTCGAAGCATTGAAAACACCTTCGCGAAAGTCGTCGCCATCAAGATACTTACGTTAGTACTTTTCCAAATTATATCATTATTATGGCTGTTGCTGCTGGCGTTGGGAAACCGTATTCAATAGTCTATGCTTCAACTCTTGATTTTTTCTCGACGGGTGCTTGCGCTCTTGTCTTTTCAGGTATATGAATGGTTTAAATGATTAGTTTGGTTATCGTCGAATCTAGGTCTGATTGGTAAATACTTCGTTAATTGGTTTTACCAAAGAAACGAAACCACCGAATGAATTTGCTAATTCTTTTGTTTGTTACCATTTTTCTTATTTTTTCCCTTTTTTTGTTAGTTATTTCATATATTTTTTTGAACAAACATTATTCTATATCTTATTTGACAATTACAGTCGCTATCGTTGAAATTTATTGAATCATGGTTTTGAAGAGTGTGTATATGATCGATGATGTTTTGAAGTGACACATATATGAAGTATGAAAAAATAACTCGATAATTATGTCTAATATGATTGAGAAAAACACAAAATAGAATTTATAAGACACTTGTCCGATATTAGTCGTATGATCTTCTTAAGATCATCATCAACACTAAGCTTTACAAATCTTTGCCAACGTCCAGCGTAACAATAGAGAACTGAAAGCAACATTTAGATAATATAGTAAGACACCACATGCATCAAATGTAAATGATATATTAAATTATCATCGTTTTCTATCGTATTTGTTGCTAAATAATCATTAATGCCAACGACCTGCTTTTATTCAATAGAAGGGGTCATCTTTGGAACCGGTCGGTTGAAATTGTTGACTTAACCGGCAGAAAACCGATGCGCTTAATATATCAATTAAGAGATCAGTTCTACAATGACATATGATGTAAAACTCATTCAGTTCTTGGAGTTTCTAGTAGTAACAGCTCCTATTTTTGTCTGCCATGTTTCATATATGTTAGCAATAAAAATGAACGAGAATTTCTGTCAAAATGCTTCATCTAACGTTAATACTATACTTTGGCTGACTTTTTTCAAGTGATAAGTTTCACCTAGTCCCACTTGAAATAATTATTCAACACAGCTGAAAGACATCAGTATTCGTAAAAGAATATTATTGTTGGCAGAATGAGAAGGTGAATTGCAACGTACGGTCTTTATATTAGACTTCCTATTTTAAGGTTTCTTAATATCACGATCTTACCAATAGCATGCTGGGATTATTTGGCAAGATTTTGACAAGAAAATTAAATTTTTCTGATATTTTCTAATGAAAGCATGAACTGAAGATTACTAGTCGTTGGGATTTTATAAGAGTCGTGTAAAAAGTAGCCCAGAAAAGGGAGCTCGAAATTTCGAGGTGAAAGATCTTTAGTCTAGACCGAAAGTAACTTATAATGCTTGACCTACTTTTCGTAAGCATAATAAATTCATTCAGCATGAACGAAGACTGTCACCATATGATGAGATGTGAGTTCAATATTTAGAGCTGATATTTTTACCACGACTAGAAATTAGTTAATTAGACACTTCCAGGCTAATATTTCATAACCATTACAGCCATGAAAACCCTTAAAAATCAGTAAGATAGGTCAAGTTTAATGTTCTAAAAGAATCATGTGAAAAACCGGCAAAAACCTCGTGAACACCAGGCGGTTTTAACACTTAAACCAGACCGGTCAGTGTGGTACCGATTTGCCAGTCTGGTTTCAACTATGTATCACACTCACACACAACATACAAAATACCCGATAAAAACACTCATATCTAACACATCCATGTACAATCCACTTCCTCATACAAACATCCACTCTCCATGTACGCTGCATCCAAATTTATAGAACACCTGAACATCTTCATCTACAGTCACGCCACTACCCCATATATGATTGACAGGTGTGGTAGCCCAAAATAGCTGATAGATTGAAATTTCATCCTCGAAAGCCAGTTTGAATAGCATCCTCTTACTACAGAAAGAAATGAGTATAATCGATCATCAATTTTCCTATACCTTTATGTTGTTAAATCAAATATTTTGCTTGACAAATTTTATTTTCAGTTAATTTAAATATTTATTTTTATTTCATTTTCATTGACAACAAAATCGAACCACATAGCAACTCAATATTCATCTTATTTTTCTTTTTCTTTTATCAATAATACTTATTGTTTTGTTATATTTATCGTCGTTTTTTTATTTTCAATGTTCTGCGAATTTAATAAATAAAAATTAATAATACCGAATAAAACTTTTATCGAATTACGATATGGCAGCACCTAAACGACATCGTCAACGAATATTAATAGATAATAAACATTTTTCAATATCTCCAAGTACTGTTGTCGAAACTTTATTAACACCAACAATTAGTATATCACGAACAACAGATAATCATTTGAATATTTCAAATAATAAAGAACCTATTCAAGCTAATCAACTAGTCGATTTACAACAACAAAGAGATAGACTTGATAAAAAATCTAAATTAATTCAGGATGATTTCGAAATTATATCAAAGACGATAACAAATAATAAGCATACAAATGATAATATAACTAAAACTATTATTAATGAAATACAGAGTAACAAAGAAGATGATTGGGTATAATTTAATCTGAAAACATACAAGTAATTTTTCTTCATATATATTCAGGTATGTCCAGTGGCTGTGGCATTGAGAAGAGCGGGTTATAATGTGAGTGCATTATCTTATCTACACCTGAAAGTTTTTTTTTAATTCGTCTCTTGTTTTATTAAACAGGTACCACTCAGACCTTCAAAATCTTGGCTTGAACGAGGTTAGCATGTTTTTTCTTATTAGTCGTCTGTATTTTCTCATTAGACGTCAACCAGTTCAATTCTCGTTCGTCTCTGAAAATCTATTGACAACGTTCTTAGATTTGAATTAATCTGTTCAAATAATTCAGTTTAGATTGCATAATTTATTTTAACAGTTCTTTTGCTCGTTTGATCTGAACCTTGAGCTGAAATCCGGTCGACTCATATATATGATAATAATATAAATTCTTTAGATCGGAAGAAACAAGCATTATGGCGTGAACGACAACCGTCATTCAAAGAAATATAGTCTTATTATTATGATTTCATGATATAACATCATTAAATATAATAGAAAATACTTGTATATCTAGTTAATATTGACTGTTCCAAGTAGATGGAAATGATTTGAAATAAAATGATAAAATTAATTGTACTTTGTTATTCAACGCTAATTAGAAAGTTTATATTTGTCATGAACTTTACGATATCATGCAAATTGTTTCTAATAACATTAAGTAACTAAATAAAATAAAAAAAAGAAACACTCAAGCGAACTATTTTCGGTTAATTTAATATTATTATATGTTCATGTGAAAAGATAATTATTTCCATGACTTAATAACAAAAGAAAAACAAAGCTAAGTTTGAAAATCATGCGTCATATTATAATTTCAAAAGTAATTTTCTTTTACGTTTATAATGCTCTAGTCATGAACCTTCCATCACATACAGATATATATTTATTCAGCATTCCATAAGGTAAAGACATGTCATTGATAAAAGAATATAATATTGGTATGTTAATGGAGACCATCATCCGGATAGGTATGATCTCTCTTCTTTTTTGTTTTACCTTTCGATGAACATATTGAAGTAAAAAAAAATACCAATGGTAGATCTAGACTTTTGAGAAAGGAGCTATCATAGCCATAAAACATGTTTTGAGGTTTATTAGAGATTATGTCGGCTCATTTTTGAGCGTTTTGTACTGAGAAAACTCAATAAATATTTGGGTTGGTTGGGGCGATCATCTCCAGTATCCCCTCTAAAAGATATTTTTTCTATATCTTTAAATTTTAAGTTCATATTTACTATTTGTATCAAGATTTTCTAGTGATAATTATCTTTTAATTCTTGAAACTTCAATCACATATTATTTAGACAAAAAAAAACAACGTTAACCTGTATCATTGAGAAAAAAACGCTACTTTATTTACGAGTAATAATTTACAAGAACGAGATAGAGAGAAATGTTGCTCTTGTTACACATTATTCTTCAAAATTGTTACTTACTATCGAGAATAAAAATATCTCACTTTATTTTCATTTACAATATATCCCACACTTGACTTTATCAAAAGTTAGCAATATCCGTTGGATTATAATTGAAAATCTCACTTTCAACGGCACTATACAACAACTCTTGATGCTTTCGAATCATAGTTATTTATGTAATATAATTGAAAAATGTCAAGAGTCTCTTGACTTATATTAAAATAGAAGTTCGAGTTAAGTAGAATAAGGTTAACAAGTATATATGTGTCAATAAGATATGCTATAAAGGTATTTAAACGATGCAAAGAAAATAATGTGTTTGTTTTTTTTTTTGATAAAAAATAATCATTGTCATGCACGAACTTCAAACATCAGTAAGTCATGTTAATGCAAAGTCATTCAGTTTCGTTCAATGATTAGATTAAACAATAATTTTGATGCTTCAATACCTATTGTAAACAAATAAATATGATTTTAATTCTACAACATACTGTTTTAATCCTTCTTTTGGACAAGATTATTATAAAACTACTTTTCTTTCTTTTTTTCTTTTTTGTATTTGTTAGAAGAAAACTTTTCGTTATCTTCAATATGTTTTTAAACATGATCAAACACACGAATGACATTATAAATAGAAACAGATGAGTACTGTTTCATGTATGTAACTATTCATTTTTTCAAATATTTTATCATAAATTAATTTAAACTCACCATTTAAACTCATTCTTAGATTATATTATTTTATATACTGATTTATTCTATGAATAAATAATAAGTTCACTTTTTAAAAGAAAATCTACATGCCTAACTATAATAAAAGTGCATTCTTGCTAATGTGTCATTCACTTATACTTGATAGTCGTTTCTTTCCTTTGTTCTACTTTTGTACTAAACGCAAGTGTGGCATACATTTATGTATTCTTTACTTCATCTCCAGGCATTTTTCCGAGCCGTCTCCTCTTTTGATACTTTTCTTCTCATTCATGTTTCTTTTCAAGTCTCTTTGATTTTTCCTAGCTCGTACCGATATGCATATACTGATGTTGGAAGAATTAACTAGTAATTCAATATTGATCTGTTAGATGAGTCATCCAGTAACATGGTAACGTGACCAGAAAAATGTTGAACAAAACAAAAAGTACACATTCTATTTTTTATGGATAAAATAAAAGACGTATATATAGGCCGCGATGTGAAAGGAACTGGGATAGACTAGGCCTTCCACACTTTCTTTGTTATCTCCGCAAAACTTTCGAACTGTTATCGGAAATCTGTCTGACAAGTTTTAAAAGAGAGTTTGTTTTCATTTACTTATTGACAATCAAATTTGTCTGCCAAATTTTTACTTTTCTCCACTTTGAAAAACTATTGAGAACCTTGGACGTATATATAAATACGTCAAACGAGATTATTCAAAATAGTTTTATGATTAAAATGATACATAGGTTTTTTTTAGTTCCTGAGGTCATATCAAAAATAGTGACGATTATACCTTGATTTCGTATAGAGAGCTAGAGAAAACTTTCTTTCTCTATGTACTAATAATAAAAATAATGCTCTTTTTTTTTATAATATTTAATCATACTTCAACTAATATTAAATTAGCAAAATTTGGACAAAAAGCTGTTTCTGATGATAGATTATGGTATCATGAATGCTTATGTCGAGAAAAAAGTTGGTAAGTATTTTTTTTTGAATAACTTTTCGCAGAAACAAGATCGAGCATTTTGGATTTCAGTGTTCGAAAGATAAAATGATGGCGTATCTAATCGAATATTTTAGCCTTTCCTAATATGATTTCTACAGTTTTTTCATTTAGTTTTCTAAATATCGAAAAAATGTTTTCATTAAAAAGGGAAAAGCAAAAGATAATTTTTTTGAGAGCATTGGGTATAAAATCGACTGGAATACATGATACTGCTTTATAATAAAATATTAACCGCTAATATTTTCGAAGTTTTGATGATCTTTGAGTGGTGGTTTGAATGCAGACCTGATATTTGAAAATTCACTGTGAACAACCCACAAGACACAAGTATTTTCAAAAAGGTCGATTGGAAATATTTTTAAAAACGTTCAGAAAGCCTTGTAATATATGATTCCGTGCATCTTCATCTTCTCTTTCAACCGTGGACTCTACACTTCTCTATCTTGTTCCTGTTAAAAGTTATTCAAAAAAATATTCGCCTATCTTTTTTCTACATGAGAATTCATATTACCACCGTCATCGATCATACGAAAGTTTTTTGTCGAAAGTTTACTATTATGATATCAGTTACAGTATGATGAAATATCACAATAAATAGAGCATCGTATTGACTCTCATTATATAGAGAAAGAAAGTTTCCTCAAGCTTCCTAATCGGAATTACGGCATCTCCAGTAATACATTTAATATGAACTAAGTAGATTCATCGTTGATAGAGTAAAAAAACGACCTGCTTATTGGAAAAAGGAAAATGCGTTTTTTAATTATTTAGTAGCTCAACTTTTCGATAGCATTGTCAGTGTTCTTTGTCATAGATATCAACAACAAAAAAAGTATTCAAAAACAATCTTCCTCATATGATAATAAATATTCAGGAGAAAATGATGTGACGTTGATAATATTTCTAGAGAAAATAGTCGTTATTTATCATAGAATATGAACTTAAGACTTTTGATTGTTTTGATTATTTTGAATAATTATAAAAAATTAATTTTACTCTCTTCTACTCAAAAGCATAGATTTCTTTAATATGTAAATTATTCAAAGAAAAGAAATATATATATATATATATATATGTTTAATAAGAAGAATAAAACATGAACTAATAATTAATAGGACACTTTACATTTGATTATAAAACTTGCACTAATAGAACATTATATGTTTGACGTGATTAGTAAGAAAAATCATATATTATATACGCAAAAAGTCTTTCAATCTATGTAGACTCGTTTGAATTATCCTTTTAGCAATTGCCGAAGGTGGGCATATTTCCTGACAATTTGTCACTTGCTGAAAGTTATAAAAAAATAGATCAAAGTATGTCGTATACGTATGTTTCTTTTGCTCTCTTTTTTATCCTATAATTAGCATTCATTAAGAGTAACGTTTTTTTATCTTATATCTGAAAAAAAAACAACTAGTCCTTTCTAGGATCTATTAAGAATAGAATTTAGCGAGAAATGTTGCATTATAATAATTGAGAAGAGGAAGAAACAAAGTTCTTGCTCATTACTTGTTATCCAAGCTGACAATTCATTTAACTATCTTGTCTATTAGATCTTGACAAGTATTGTGTCAATATATAAACTTAATCTTTTTTGAAAGGTAAGTTTATTGACAAGAAAATTAAAAAAGAAACGACCTCATTTATTTTGATTTAAGCATGCACGTCATTTCATTATTTTCTTTTTTATTAATATAAACGCTAATGTTGGGTGAAAAAAAATGACAAATAAATTTATCAAAAATGATCTTATCAATGAATTTTTTCGGTAGATCTTATCAGGAAAGTTTTCTTTTCCTTAGAAAATAAGGAACACGCTTTTTTTTTTCATAGAAATA